CACACACACACACACACACACACACACACACACACACACACACACACACACACACACACACACACACACACACACACACACACACACACTACCAGTATTTCTACATGAGAAAAATAAAAGCTTAAGTTATCATGTTTGCTCATTGTTATAAGACTAGTTTTGTGACCACTTAAAAAACTCAACAGAAACCAGTCTTGTAAAGTTGCAACTGTATGTTTTTATCATAATCATTTAACTAAGACACAATAAAATGTAATACAAGTAAATAGTTTATAAAGTGAGTAGTTACTATTTATGGTGTTACATAGAAATAAACTGGTTATTAATATATTTGTATTTGTGTGTACTTACGTACCTACGTATAATGTTGCTCACTTTGTATTACTTAATTATTTTTGAATTATACATCATTCTTTGTTTGTCTTCAGTATATATGTATATAAATAAGTGATAAAATCAGTTTTCCTTAAATTATGCTTAGCATAACACTTAGACTAAAGTCTGTTCTTGACAGAGATAAAACTATGATGAACACGGGTACTTGTTTAACTAAGCCATCATTTTGTTTGGGAAGATATAAGCTTGAGTAATCCTGTAGCAGTAGTAAGGGGTTCATTGTGCTTGTAAACTGGTTTCTCTGAATAACCTTATTTCCTGAAAGTTGTAAATTTTCATATTTGAACATAATTTTCTACACAGCTTGAGGGAGTTACGACAATTTACGGGTTAACAGTTTATGTACATACATTTAGGAACTAGGTCTTGAGTTGTCGGGCAAATATTTGTGTTCTGACTGTTGTGTGAAGCAACTATTGTAGCATTCCAGTCTGTTTTTATTTCATTTTGATGTCATTAATATGTGTCATTGTACAAGTATTTATTATTATTGTTGCATTTCTTTATTTTTACAGCAAAATTATTAACCATTCTTGTGCTGAAACAATTGATGAGAGGGCAATAAATAAAAAGAATCTCACAGTTTACACAAAGCATGAGAACTTAACCTTGGCTCTGAATTCTGCCCAAGCCATAGGCTGTAACATCATCAATATTGATGCCCATGACCTTGCCAAAGGCAAACCCCACCTGGTGTTGGGACTCCTATGGCAAATAATTCGGGTAAGCTAACAAAGAAGCAAACTGAATATTAAATAAATTGTATTATCTTTTATTGATTAAAGATTTCTTTGTATACCCATAAAATTATAATTAATCTTTATCATTATGTTAGAAAAACGTGTAGGTTCAGGAAATAAATTCAACACAAAAATATGATACCCTATAACCAAAAGGTCAATAATACAGGGTTGGCCAAGGTCTATTGGCTAGCATAATAGGCCGTGGATCAGAAGATCCAAGTTGGTTGTGGTTGCTGCTGATTGGTTACTCTCATCTTTGTCAACAATTTTATATTAGTGACAGCTACATCTAAGCTTATAGTCTGTAATCTTTATGCTGTTCAGGTTGAAAATGAATAATAAATTTACTAACTATGTCACTGTTATTTTAACTCGGTGTGCATGTGTGTGTGTGTGTCGTATTAAATGCAGCCTTTTAATATTTTGTAGTGTTTAGTTTTTGATGTTTAAGGTTTTGGAAAATGTACTTTTAATATTTTAATCTATATACTTAGTCAGTTTGTTTATTTAAGTAATGCTTTATTGTATTCATATATAAGCCTGATAACAAATATGTTGAAATTCTAAGTTAAATATGTATCGACATCAGTTGAAATTCATTGTTCATCCAGAAAATTAGGTAAGTCCTTACACATATTCTAGTTAATCGTCTGTTACAAAAGAGATTGTTTCAATTTCATATAAAATGGTGATTACTAACATATTTGTAGATTAAAGATTCAGAATTGCCTTAGATTTCACTAGAATAATTTCTTAAGAGTTGACAAATTTGAGCCTGTCAGTACAAAATAACAAATACCTATCTGGTTATATTTCTTCCAAGATTGGTCTGTTTAATCAGATCACACTAGAACAGTGCCCTGGACTAGTGCAGTTGCTCTTTCCTGGTGAGGAAATGGCTGACCTTCTCAAACTGTCACCGGAAAACATTCTCATCCGATGGGTGAACTATCACTTGGAGAGGGCAGGTGTTGCTAGAAGGCTCACAAATTTTACATCTGATGTTAAGGTAAGGGCATTTAGTTTAATTCATCATGTAAAATATATCCTGTTGCATTTTATGGTTATACAACTAAGATTAGATAGTCATCTAGATTTTCACATTTTTGTATGCAGTGAATTATGAATAAATCGGTAAAAAAAAAAAAGATACTATTCAGCCATGAATGTATTGCTTTTTATTTCATGTACTTTTATAATTTTAAAAGAAGAGCTTAAAATATTCAGTCAAGTCAAAATGTTAATGTTCAATATTAACAGAGCTCTATGATTTAACTTATTTATGTCGGAGTGTTTTAAAGACTTGCCAACATGATTGTGTTTTAGCAAATGTTTTAAGAGCAGCTATCATAAAAGCTGTTAAATACTGAACAAAAATATAACAAAAAATTTGTATTGTATGAATGGATTTCTTTTATACTGATAGAAGAATACTTTCCAACCAAGAAAGTATAGTTTTTTTCATGCTAAAAATAAAAGGCTAGTGTAACAGGTGTGTGGGCATTCAGTGGGCTTAGTCTTTGGATTTGACTTTACATTAATTACAAAGAAATTTATTTGTGTTTTGGGTTTTGCTTTCATGATCAGTGCACACAAGCCACCAACTTGGGGAAGTTTATGTGCGGAATAAAGAACTCGCAGAGACAATGGAATACTAATCAATTAATGTCTGTATTTATACACTGGTGACCAGTTCATCTATATTGAAATTCTCAAGATTATCTTGAAACAACACTAACTATAAATCATTGAATTCATCACTCTGAAGATCTAAATGTTCGTTAATAAGGCCTTCTATTAGTTCAGTAACGTAGACACAACATTAGTTAAGTTATCAACTAAATTAAAACGAGAAATCCTTTCGTTCATAATCTTTATAACTGCATTATCATTTCTTCTAAGATATCTTTAAGTAATTCCACTTTAAACATTTTTAAATATATTATTTCCTTAGTACAGTTAGTATTCTTCACTCTTTATACATTATTAAACCTTAGGTGAAACATGTTAGACTAGATCAGAAATAGCATATTTACAAGAAATTTGTGCAGCAGACGTTTTGTAGATTCTGGATCGCTGCCATTTCTTGGAGTCGGATCAGGTCCTCAGAGCAACTTAAGTGTGGACAAATTGATGTTTTGAGTTGGAAATGCGGAATTGTATACACAATTGTTAGTATTTCTCTAGTTGTTCAAGAAGTTTAGCAGATCTATTTTCAAAAGTAATTTTAACTCGATTGGTACAAGTGAGATCTTCCAGCAACAAATAGATTATACCATCAGACTGGAACCAAAATTCACTTTGTTAGTGGTCCTTACAAAACTTATTTCTGTCCCTTATCTGATATCTTTGGCGAAATCATCCAAGACAATTAACCTAGGACATATAAAGACAAACCATGTAACTCCTGTCTTTTCACTATGAGTATTTCACCCTTGTCTGTCATTGCTATCCCGTTAACTACCTTTTTGTGACATTGGTTCATTTACTCATGGTTTTATCTAAACTACTGGGGTTCCATCTTAAACATACCATGTTTGTCTGCTGTGAAAATTAATACCTGTGAATTCGTGCACCTCTGAGGTCATGACTGAAATGTCCCGGGCTAACTCGTGGGATTGGCTTCAAACCTGTAGCCTGTATCTCCCTTATTTGGTATTGTGGTTCACTAGTGACCACGTTTTTCTAATAACATTTTTGATCTGCTGCTTTCTTCATACTGTATGTTATAGATATTATAAAAATTAAAACATATTTCTTGAAAACCTTTAAATATGTATATACTTAGTATTTGTATTCCAGAAATACTTCACTAGCAAATTGTTAAATGTGACATAGTTATGGCAACTTTTAGGGAATTCAATAGTATTTAAAAAAAATCTTTCATTTGGCTGAGTGCCTCCATTATCATTACTATAAGTGAGAGATCTTTGTAACTATACAGTATTGGAAGTGATTAGGACAGAATACCATTCTGTTATCCAAGCTTCAAATACCACTAAAGGACATGCATTAACAACTTATTGGCACTTTTGTTTTGGTCTTCAAGTAAACCAGCTGCTCTAATACTGTAGTATATATTTGATCATATGCACCAAGAAACAGAAACATTGTATAAAAAATGTTAGTGAATATAGATTTCAACGAAATAATAACAAAAATCATATTAGTTTTACACAATTATTCAATCTTGTCATCAACAAGGTTTTCACACACAGTTTTGTCAAACAAAAAAAAAAAAAAACTATTGAGGTGGAATTTTTTCTCTCTTTCTCAGGATTCAGAGATCTATACACATCTGTTGTACCAAATATCTCCCCATGAAGCTGGAGTTACAACAGAAGCTCTTCGAGTAAGTATTATTGATATATTTAAAAAATGTATTAGAAGAGTTTTTAAAGAATTTTAATTGCAAGTCATTTATGTAGTGCAAATGCATATGTTATCAATACAAAGAGCATAAATTTGATATTTGTATTTATATAAAAGGAATTTTAAATATCATATAATTGTTATTCTTTCTTCAGAGTTCAAATGAGGGATTTAACACATTTGTAACTAAGTCTAGACAAACTAGTTATTATTGATTTATTTTATAAAAAGCATTAATCTTGAGATTATTACTGATATTACTTTCTAAGTAAAACCTGTGAAAGTTTTATTTCACAAATTTTAGCTCTTGTTCTTTGAAGTTTGTATAAAAGTTCTTCATTGCAAAATAATGTAGTTTGAGATTTTCTCGGTTTCAGAGTAGAAAGAGAATTTTTGACTTTAGCATTAAGAGTGTAGTGTCTTTTTTCTTTCTTCTTTACATCTCAAAGATGACTAATATAGACTTTCCCATTTTATCTTAGGAACCAAATCTAGTGAGTCGAGCAGAAATCATGCTGCAGCAGGCTGACAAGATACGATGTCGCAGTTTTCTCACACCCAATGATGTTGTTGAAGGTGTTTACAAGTTAAATGTGGCTTTTGTTGCCAATCTGTTTAACAACCATCCAGCATTAGACAAACCGGAAGTACCACTAGAATTAGAGAACTTGGAAGAAACCAGGGAAGAAAAGAGTAATTATATTTAATATTTTTGGAACTAGAGCTGAGCAGTTTGTTAGATTTGCTAATTGGTTAGTCATCGGGCTCATCAGCCAATTACATTCAACAAATCAATTATACTCACAGGAGATAAATATTCATTTATCCAGTTTGTTTCATGTTTTTTGAAAGACATTTTCTAACATCCTCAGATACAACAATTTAGGATTAAAAAAAAGGAGCTTAATCCTAAATTCAAATTCAGCCATTAAGTCCTAAACTATTGTAAGTGAAATTGTACCATATAAACAACATGATACAAAAGCTGAAAATAGTTTTAATAGTGTTCCATGGAAAATGATAAGTATGATGATATATGTACTACTTCTATAATAAGAGTTGTGTTTTACTAAAGGATATGATACCTAAATATTTTAAGAATAATTACTTTAATAGAGACTCAATATTTCTGACAAGAAAATGACAGGATTTTTATTTTTTTAAGTACATAGGCTAGAATAAGGCATCAAACTAAGAACATTCAATGTTGTAAGATTGAAACAAAGATGTAGATGACTTCCATGTGTATATTATAATAATAATAATAATAATAATAATATAATAGTTACTGAGCAAAGTAATGTAATACATTTTTTGATTTTCCTAATACTTTTTTTTTTGTCTAAAATTTTAAAAAGTTTATGGCTAAGAGAAAGTCTCAAGTACCCAAAGCCATTCCTTTTGTTGCTTGTATATCCTAAGTAACTGGTTATGTTTTTAGCATGTAATAAGTAAGCAATATATTAAGTTAAAGCTATACTGTTATTTATTCTAAAGAAGTTCTTTAACCAATGGCCACATCCCAGATTCATGTTGTGTACAACCAGAACACACAAATAGCATCATGCCAAAGGAAGAAGTAGTAGTAGCTATGATGTTGTGGTGCATGTTCAGTTGGCATGCATTTAAAGCTGAACAAGTTTGTTTGAGTTATGGGAAAGCTTCTAAGACTATATGCTACCATCCCTCATTTTGAACTGCCAACCAGAAAGGAAAAAGTAACTAGCTTTCAGCACCCACTGCCAACTCTTAGGCTATTTTCTTTACCAATGAATAGAACTATCATATTATAAAGCCCCTAAACCAGCATAGTATTGGTGGTTAAGGTGGTTGCCTCACAAATTGAAGATGATGGTTTTATACCTGGTGCTGCCTTACAGACATTATAATGTCACGGTTAATTCCACAGTTGTTGCTGGCTGGTTGTCAGTTCAAAATTAAGGGCATTAGAAGAAGATAGCCTTAGTAGTTTTGTCATAACTCAAAAACAAAAAAATGCAGTGACCCTTTGACTTAATTGGCAAGCAAGTTTAATTGCAACTGGAATCAAAACTAAATCCCATGAATCCTGAGGCAACCCTCTAATCACCACACCAGGCTGGATCAAAGTGGAAGAATCTTGAAGTACTCAAAAATTAATCATAAATACAATATCTCAATTACTTGGACAGTTGGAATAATTGAAAATAGTAATAATTAGAACTCCTATGAATTGTGACTAATTTATTAAGCTGAATAAACCTGAATTAATCAACCAGTCAGAAAACAGCCCTCATAAACTGATGAAAATTATTGTCCTAATAAATTTTTGTTGCTGGCTTTTTCAATTTTTACTTTGGCTCCTTTAGCTTAAAAGGTTTTTTTCTGAGATTAACAGTACTGATTTGATAATTAACCATGGTTCTCCTGCGCCTGTAGAAGCATTTTGATTCTTGTTTGTCAAGAATAAGAACTGATATTTTAAATGTTAACTGTCTTCTTTCTGTGCTAAATAGTGTTTTATTACAATAAAAATATTATACTTTTTTATTGGAAAAAATTAATTTACAAGTGTGTTAATATTGCTATAAATTATTTTTCTCATTTTTTTTACAGATCTTTCATAATATTTGTAATTTTCATGAACATATAAAAAAAATATACACATTTTTGTGACTCCTCACATCTGCTAAAAGTATTAACATGAAATGGCATAGGTTTTAAAAAAGTTACCAGAAATTAGTCATTATAAATAAGGGTACTGGGAAAGAGAGTAAAAAAATGTTTAAGTCCATAAAACTTGCCAAAGTTGCAGTATAGTATTTTTGCTAATTATTTGTCGATAACAAATGACATTTCAAAATTTTTTGAAAAACGCGTTCGTTTTGTACACTTTTGGAAACGTGAAAAATAGTTAATTACTTCATACTTGAAAAAATTAATTTTTTTTATATGACTTTAGGATAAAATTACCTGGATTATATTGAAAATTATATAATGAAGGTTTGTGGATAGGAAAGTATTTTAATTTTAAAAATGCTATTGGCTTTTATATGCCACATAACTTAAATAATTTGCCCAAAATATTATAATAAAAGTTTTTCTGTATAGACGAAGTTTAAACGGTAGTTGTTAGTCTGTGTTTTTCCTTTGTTTGATCTGAGGGATTGTTTGCTACATGATACAGTACATATTTTAGTAGTGCACGTAGTGATGGGTAGTTGTTAGTCTGTGTTTTTCCTTTGTTTGATCTGAGGGATTGTTTGCTACATGATACAGTACATATTTTAGTAGTGCACGTAGTGATGGGTTTGTCTGTATATCTCTGTTTCAATGCATATCAAAAAACTTAGCAGAGTTTTAATTCCTAAACAGCAATAACTCAGGCTTGAAGTTTTGTAACACCATTGAATTATCACACTGATTAACCTAGAGCTTTCACTCATTTTCAGCTTTTGTACTCCTAGAAAGTTACCATTTTAGTCCATGTATTTTATCTTTATTTAGCTCTATACAAAAAATAATATTTAGTAAGATTTTTTTTTCAGTTGTGACACCATTATTTTTATAATATTTTCACAGCATATCGTAACTGGATGAATAGCATGGGAGTTAACCCTCATGTGAACTGGTTGTACAGTGACTTAGCTGATGGGTTAGTCATCTTTCAGGTATGGATACTACTTTAGCCCCAGCCATAAAATTTTGTTTATTTTTCTGATAAACTTTTAAATCAAAGTTAAAACTTCCTTTAATAAAAGTGTGTACAGCACTTCAAAGGAATCTGCCAGTGTACGTACAGTTTGATATTTTTTGTGATTTTATTGTCAGACACCATTTAATGTATTGATAAAAAAAAAAGAATAGTAAATTGTTAGTACATAATTCAGCAAAACATTTAGGAATTTTTTATATGAAAAAAGAAATGTAAATATGCCTAAAATAGTTACCACAAATTGAAAAACATTAGTTATTATTTTGATATTTTGTAATGATCAAATAGCTACTGCAAAATAGTAATAGCAATGGTGGTATTTTTAAAGGCTTGATCATGACACAGAAATAATTAAATATATTAAAAACGATTACTTCATGACTATTAAGTAACTAATACTATTTAAAAAAAAAAACATTTTTAACATTTTCCCCCAGCATTTATTGGATAGGCCTCCATTATATATTTACTGTTTAAACTCTTTTTTTTTTTTATTAGCTTAACTGCATGAGCTGTAGCTGTTAAGTTATTTATCTTTTCCAGTTGTTTGACATCATCAAACCAGGAGTGGTCAGTTGGAATAAAGTACACAGAATGTTTAGTAAACTGAAAGGTTTCATGGAGAAACTGGAGAATTGTAACTATGCTGTTGACCTTGGCAAAAAACTCAAATTTTCGTTAGTGGGAATTGCTGGAAATGACATTTCAGAAGGAAATCCAACCCTTACACTTGGTTCGTACCATTATTAATTCCAATAATTTCTTCAACGGTTATTCACCATATGTATCTTCTTTCCATTCCTTTTTTTTTGTTGTTGTTGCATATCAACATCTCTAGTTTTTCTAGATACTAAATACTACCAAATACAAGTCATCTTATGTTGAAATTGTTTTGGTTTCAGTTCTTAGTGGCTGTTGTCTACTTATGATATTTTTGTTCATTGCTATAATAACAGTTGATGTGTTTCCTATGAATAAGAATATAGTACAGTGAGAAAAAATAAGTTTTTATTTATTAAAATTAAGGCAACTAGCAAATTTTTAACTTGTAATTATTTTGATTGAGCTAAAATATCATAACAAGCATAAGATTGTGTGCGTGTGTGTACTCCTCTGTTGCTTCAGCTTGCAAAGTGTACTCAAGAGCTTTAGTCTGCTGTGTGATAATGTCTACTGTAAATAAAGCAGTTAACTTACAATAATTAGCAGATTCACACCTTCACTTGTCTGAATGTTTTTTTCCAATGGAAGAGTTAATCTTCTAATGTGGCAAGAACTTAAAAAACTTATCTTTCAGACATTTACAGCCATTGTGTGAGATTTCAGTGTTTGGAAAAAATAGTTTCACTAAATATCTTGTTGCTGTAATTTTAGGCCATTATCTGATGGAGGTTTTAACTGCCCATGCTGTTGGGTATCTGAAACTTATCACACAGTAGAAAGATAAACAGAAAAAGAATGTGAAGTTGACATAGAATTTTACTGGCTAGCAACTTGTGGTATATTTTTCAGTGTAATGGAATTTTACTGGCTAGCAACTTGTGGTATATTTTTCAGTGTGATGGAATTTTACTGGCTAGCAACTTGTGGTATATTTTTCAGTGTGATGGAATTTTACTGGCTAGCAACTTGTGGTATATTTTTCAGTGTGATAGAATTTTACCAGCTAGCAACTTGTGGTATATTTTTCAGTGTGATAGAATTTTACCAGCTAGCAACTTGTGGTATTTCTTTCAGTGTGATAGAATTTTACCAGCTAGCAAATTGTGGTATATTTTTCAAGAGTTAAGATCATTTGTCTTAAAACATGAAAAATCTTGAAACTTGTGCACAGATTTTCTGCATTGAGTGTTGTGCCTGTGTGTATATTCTCAGGTATGGAGAGGTTCAGAGTGTGAATAGTAACCATTAATTCCATGAGCTGTCATAACATATTCAAGTGTACTGAACAGCTACTGGCCCTGTTTCTTAGTTTGATGTGAATGGGCATGTTTTGTACCATTCTATGCTATACTGACCAGGCCAACCACATAATGGAAAAACCATGTTCTTTAACCATTGCAGTCCAGTGTTTAAACTGAATGATCCAGTTGACAGCATGTCCATCTTATATCTTAATGTGCAAAATTGTTTGATGAACACAAACTTCAATTAAGTAATGCATAGATAGTAACCATTTTAATTCTTACAAAAACAAAAAATAAAATTTTGTTGATGCACAGATGTTTTTTCTGCTTTTATACAAAGGTTTCTAAAGTTATTTTTCCTGAGAGAAGAACCAGTAGTTACAGTTCTTAAACTGGTTTCTTTCTCTAATGATTTGTTACATTTTACACAACCTTTAGCTGTAGCTTGTTTTTGCAACAAGCTTTTTAATAATCCATGCGTCTTAAAATGGATTTTATGAAATGGGGTATAGTTCCTATTCTTAATTGTTTTAAAATTATTTTGTTTCTGAGTAATATAGAATCTGTTAACTACAACTACTTTGAGAACTAATCTAACTGTGACTGTACAGCACTGTGTATTATTCTGATTCCTCGTAGCTCTTGTGTGGCAGTTGATGAGGGCCTACACGCTCAGCATTCTGACCCAGTTGGCCGCAACAGGTAACCCAATTGTGGAAACGCAGATTGTGGAGTGGGTAAACAAAAAGGTAACATTTCTACAAATATACTTAAATACTACAAATATTGTCATTGTCATGTTTTTCTGTCTTACACACTCAATAGTTTAAAGTGCTTTATTTACTTAGAAATTAAATTGCATTTTTTTTGCACCTTAGTATATACTAGTATATATAATTATCCATTACAACCATTATATTTAAATTTAACATTCAACTAGAACTGTGAATTTTAGGAGATTGACTTCTACTCTTTTTTTTTTCAGTACTTCTCTTTGATCTTTCTTCTGAGGGTGTTATTTTTAAAACATTAACCTTTTTACACTCTTAGTATCCATTTTTAAAGTGTTGAAGGATTCTGGAGCTGGTAAAGTGCTTCTTGATAGGGCCAACTATAAGTGATTTTATGAAATTTATTTTTTTTACAGGATTTTAACACACAATTTGAGTACACCCAATAAGTTTTCATCTGTTGATTGTAAGGAACTGTTTATTAAGTTGTTTGAGTATTTCTCTTAAGTGTAGTTTACATTAAAAGATTGTAAACAGCAGTGAATAGTCCCAACTTTACATTTGTTAGCTTAAAACAATTTCATAATAGTTTTATATGAAAACTAACCTGTAGAAACTTGTGTGTACATGTTATTCCTACTTAAAGTTATATACATCAATATTTTATTTTATACAGATTAATTGGCCTATTCGCGATCAAAAGGTAAACACCGGTACTGTATGAATTGGTGTTAATCTACTTGGTTGACTGATTCTAAAACTCTAATAAACATCTTACTACAATTTGAGTAGTATTTTCTATAAATACCTGTTTCTGTTATAATTACTAAGCTATGATATGGACAAGCACAAACTTTTTATGGGTCATTACTGTGTAACTCATTATTTTCTAGTTGAAGGAAGCGGGAAAACCAACAAGTGTTAAGAGCTTTCAGGACTCTGGAATTTCTGATGCTACTCCTGTCATTGACCTTATAGATGCAATTCAACCAGGCTCAATTAATTATAGTGCTGTCTTGCCTGGTAGTGATGATGATGTAAGTAATAGTTTTTTCTTATTGGTTTTATGCAGTCATGATCAGTCTGTTGCTGTGTAAATTGTATAAATCGTACTTTATTTTATTGATGCTATTCTACCAGACTCAAAAATTTACAGTACAGTCATGCCTGAAAGCGATGTTTTGAATTTCCCACTAGACCTGGGAATCTAATGCACAAGATCAATAGACAAAGCCTAATCTGCATAGATGAAGATCTCAGCTGCTGATTTGTATCCAATATAGTGTGTGTTGCAATTCAAAAAAATTGGTAATATTTGCAGTTGAAAATTGTGTAATTTTTTGAGACAATGGACCCAAGATGGCATCAAATTGCTTCAGTGTTTTCACTCTTGAAGAGATAATTGAACTTGTGTAAGCTGATGATGGTTCTTGCTCTGAACCTGAATGTTTTGTGAATAGTTATGGTAGTAATGCCAAAGCTTGACCCGTGGGGGCAAGTGATGATGGTGACAGTAATTATGAGGTTCCTATTTTTAATTGCAAGGTAGAATTCAAGGGAGATCTTGTGCACATGTTGCAGGATGTAATAACAATATAACTGTTGCCATTGTTAGTACAGGTGGGTATACAACTACACATACACGTCTTCCAAGGCCAGACCCGGGGCTAGGCCTAATAGGTCACAACAACCGGCACGTGGGCATGGTCGACTTATTGATGGCATTCAAGCTAGGCATGGACTTGTTGTTGCAAATAATGATGGATGGAGGTTGATGATGGGTGATAAACATTTTAAACTTTGGATTTTCAGATTTTGATAATAGAAATATAGGGTGCAGGGACAGCCAGAATTTAAATGATGCAGACCCTATAAATTTTTTGCAATTATTCATGGATGATTATGTGTTTGATCACATTGTAACAGGAACAAACCATTATGCTGATCAGTTTTTACAAAGGAATGGGGATTATTTGAAACCACATTTACGAATTAATAAACGTGTACCTGTGAACCACCAAGAGATGAAAGCATTCTTTGCTTTGCACCTTGCAATGGACTTAGTCAATAAACCTGAGATAGAGAACTATTGGGACATGTTTTGGCTAACTGACAGTCCTGAATGCTGCTGTGCCCTTACTAAGAATAGATGTGAATTGATCTTGAGCTTCCTGCATTTTGGAAACAATAGTGGTCAAGTTTCCAGAAGTGCTTCTTGTCATGACAGATTATCTAAGGTGTTTCCACTGACTGATATGATAATTCCTAAGTTCGCACAACTGTTTAGTCCAAAAAACGGAATTGGATGAAATAACAATTGCATTCAAAGGGCAAATTGTTTTGAAACAATACAACCCTAAGAAACTGAATGAATGAGGATTCAAGGGTTTTATATTATCTGTGCCAAAAAGTGGATATGTTCTTAAGTGTTTGCTCTATGTAGGTAAACTAAAAATGTTGCAAATGAGGATGGTGATGATGTATTAGTCACCCACAGGCTTGTTCACAATATGATAGCATATAAATTGACAAAGGGCATGAACTGTATGTAGACAGAACACGGGTCTGTGTGGTACAGTGAATGTGAACCATCTGTCATGCCAATAGCTTTGAAATCTACTGTCTTACCTTTCAGAAAAGGTGACAATCCTGTGTTCATGAGGAAATGGAAACTGATCATGTATAAATGTTGTATTATTTCATTACCTCCTTTTCACAAACCATCTCAAAAAAAACTGGCTTAAAGATAACATAACTTGCCTATTCCAAGGGGCTCTGAACAGTAAATACAACATAGAAAAGGTTAAATAATAACTCTCAACTGTTTTTCATGAAATCAGGTGGTTTATTTGTGTCAAATTAGAAGAAAATAGAATAAGCTACAAATTTCTCAAATATGGTGGCCATATTGGAAGTTTGATGTCATCAGATATATGGATTAGGTCAACTTATTTGCATACTTTGAATCTTCAGGTTGTACTGAACAGTTGCATCCCTGTGTGTCTTGGGCTGTTTCAAATGGTTTTAGAGGTATACTTGAACTAATTAAACATGCATATAAACCTTAATATACTAAAAAAATGTATATGCCTAAAAAGTTAAGTTTTATTTTAGTCTATTTTATTGATATTTTACAGTATAGACTGCCTGATGGTGTAAGTGCTACTTTTGTAATCTTATTGATGCTTTTGCAGTACAGTCTAGTCTGAAAGTTCTGATGCTGTAAATGATACTTTAATTATTTATTCTGTTCAGACAGGATCAGTTAGTTACAGTGTTAAGGTATCTGTCAATCATAGTGATGCCAGTGCTATTTTATTAGACTTCTAAAGTGCAGTAAAATTTGAAACTTAATATTGTATTAGGTCATCAAGAAATTAATGTAGCATTTTTTTAGATAAAAAAACCCGAACAATTTATATATCAAAACAAAACATTTATTAAATGCAATAGTTTCCATTCTTATTGATGATGCTTTTCCATCTTACAATCAGGTTATTAATGCCCTGATTAAAAAAATCACTTGGCTTTGAAGCAAAAAACATGTCAATGTCTTCTTTAACACTTTCCACATTTGCATACATTTTCCTATTAAGATAGTGTTGCAGTGAACGAAAAAAAAAATGGTAATCTGATGGTGACATAACTGGAGAATATGGTGGGTGGGGGAGAACTTCCCAACCCAATTCCATAATCTTGTGTTGCGTCAAACGTGCCACATGTGGATGTTCATTGTTGTGGAGAAGAAGAAGAACACCTTTCCAATTAACGAGTGAAAGGCATTTCTGATGAAGGGCTTGATTTAAACATTCAAGTTGCTGACTATAGATCTATTCATTGACAGTTTGCTGTAGATTGAGGAGTTTGAAATGAATTACTCCTTTGATGTCCCACCAAATGCAAAGCATCACTTTCTGCAGATGGGAGTCCAGGTTTTGGGGTCAGAAGTGGTTTTTGTCTAGGACTGAGCCATTGTTTTTGGCATTTAATATTCACATAGAGAATCCATTTATCATCACCGGTGACAATTCTGTCCAAAAATGGTTCACGAGCGTTACGTACCAGAAGAGATGAAGCAATATTCACACGTTGGAAATGATGATCATTGAAGAGTTTGTGAGGCACCCAAACACTTTTTTTATGGAGTTCTTCCATATCCCTTAGATGTTTACATATTGTTTCATGAGAGACATGCAATTTCAGGGCCATTTCATGAGTGTGTTGCCTTGGGTTAGATTCAACAAGTGTCTTTAGAGCATCAATATCAATTCCAACATGTCGGCCCCTGCCCATAGTTCTTAAGGCTAAAGTCACTGGAACAAAATTTACTGAACCATCGTTGACACTTATGAACGTTCAAAATATTTCCATAAACTTCTTTGATATTCTTTGTGGCTACAGAAGTGTTGTTTCTTTTCTTGTATTCAAACAGTATTACATGCAGAATGTGTGTGTGTGTGTCTCATCGTGTGACATCACTATAAGGGATTAGAGTATACTAAACTTTACACATTATATAGGCTACACTAAATTGACGTTTAGGCAATTCATTTGACTATTATACGCAGGGCCGGCGCCAGACTATTTTGCGCCCTAGGCAAGGCCAGCTACTTGCTCCCCCCCAAAAAAAAATTGCCAACTTCAATTTTTAAGAACAGACGTTTTGTAGAAAAAATAAAAATCACAAAACAAAGCACTTAAAACAACTAATTTAAATAAAACTGTGACCCTTAAAGGTCAGTACTTCGCCTTTCCGAGGACTGCTTCGTAGGCAGCTGCCTAGTTGGCTTAATGGTATCGCCGGCCCTGATTATATGCGATGTATGTTTTTTGGGGGTGGTTAACGAAAATAATTCAAAAATGTTACATTATTTTCTTGACCTAATAACATAAACAAAAATGAATGTTTTCCACTCTCTTTCTGAGAAAAATGCTAAAGTTTTCAAGAAGTAGATTTTGTTTTTGTTTTCATTAGTACTCTATAATGAATGTTTAGTAATAAAACTGAAATTGTGCATGAAAAGTTTTTTATTTTGTAAAAAACATTATTATACTCTTGTGTTTTGATAGTTTGGTAAACAATATGACTTTTATAGTGTTGGATTATCTTTGTGTTACATTTTCTTGTATTTCTTTGTTTTACAAATCCTATTACAATACTGTGTTATATAATGGCAATCAGTGACTAAATAAACTCGAGATCCCTTTATTCTTGAAAAGTTGTTTGATTTTATTATTTGATTAGTGAAAATATAACAATTCTTGTTAGTATAATGTACAAACTTGAGTATTAATTCACGAACTTAATCAGCTGATCTTTAACATGTATGTTTTATAATAAGATGTGTAATTTGGTTACATAGACATTGACCACCAGCCTTTTTTGAATAAATGAAAGCATGCAATAAAAATTAACTTTTATTAAATCAAATATAGATACTTATGAGCCTTAAACAACAACAGATATCACTTATCATAAACAGGAAGTCATATTTTCTACTACTGAATGTAGCCATCTTGTAATTTTCTAAATATAAAATGAATTATTATTATTTTTGTAGGAGAAGATGGCAAATGCCAAATATGCCATTTCTGTAGCTCGTAAAATCGGTGCTCGTATTTATGCCTTACCTGAAGACATTGTTGAAGTCAAACCCAAGATGGTAATGACAGTGTTCTCATGCCTGATGGGCCGAGACTACATTCCAAACATGGGAGTAAAAAGTCAAAACAACAGTAATGAATAAAAACAAAACCATGAGCAGTTACATCTAGTGTTTACAAAGCAAGTGCATGTCAAAAATTATTTTTTATTTTACTTGAGTGCACTAAACTAAAATAAAATACCCTATATTTTGGCTTTTTTGATCATTTAGAGGAAGATTAAATTTGTGCTGGGCACTTTAATCATCATATCTTTACCATTAATGTGTGCTTGGTGGGTATTCTTATCAATGACTTACTCTGAATATTTAAAATGAAAATATGTTGCCAAAATTGATGTTGTTGGGAAAAGTTACTTGAATTTTGAATTACATATTTTTCGCAGGGTAAATATAAGGCAACATTATATGAGTAACTTCTTTCTTAGGGATCAACAGAGCTTTGTTTTTATTTTTTCATTCTTATTTGTCATGCAAACATTAGAAAACTAGTCCAACGTTTTAGTTTCCAAAATATCAGATAAAGATATCTAACTTTTTTAACTTAGTTTTTCTTTTACTGCTGTTGTTGCATTTGTTGATTAAAAAGGGTCTACTTTTTTGTCTGCTTGCTATATTAATAATATTTTATCAGAGAAATTACTAAATATTTTTAATGTTACTGGTTAATGTTCAGTCTTTCCTGATATCTGGTAGTAAAATTACATAAAAGGGTTTGAGTGTTTAAAACAAATACTTAGTGAGTGTTGATTGGCTTTAAAATGCTTACCTGCATTCAACTATTAGGTATTTAAGTAGTTTCTAGGATGATATATATATATATATATATATATAGACCAGTTTTTTGTTTAATGTCTCTCTTCTTTACATATTGTTCTTCATTGATATGAATCTTTATTTTAGTTCAGTTGTTAGTAGATTTGGTATGTCTTTGTATATGTGAACTACCAATGTAAACTGACTGTGTTTCACTGGTGTATTAATTCATCTATTAGTAGATTTGGTATGTCCATGGCTATGGGCTCATTGTCAGATGTTACTTAAAGGGACCATTATACAACACTTCTGTATTTTAATGTGCTGTTTTGTTAAAAATCAGATCTGTCTTCCATATGAACTATTTTTTTATAAAAATGCTATTTTTGGATATTCATAAAAAAAAACCTAATATGATTTTTTGATTTTTTTTTCAAGATGAATTGAAATATTCATGACCGTTATCATGATAGCTTAATTAATGAATATGTTATAGCCTTTTTTTTTCCACCTAAACTTGCATTGTTGTAACAGGATTGTATATACATGTAGTAATTTCTTTTTCTTTTTTTCTGGTTCTCTTATCTTAATTGTAAGATCTTTAATTAAATATTTGTATACCTTCATATTATGCATTGTTAAGTTAACCTGCATCTTTGTTTTGTTGAATATGTGTGAATAACTTGTATAAATGTATTTCTGTTTCAGTTTAATATTCCTTTTGAGACAAGTTTAGCTAAAACTAAAGGACTCCATATTCTTGGTAATTGAACTGATCATTTTATGAATATGTGGTGCATTTATTTGTCATAAAATTACAAAATTACGTAATTAATATTGTAAGTGATATTTCAATAATATAAGTATATTTAAGTATTAATATAATTATTCACAGTTTACCTTTTCATTAACCTTATGGACTGAAATAATGTATTTAGATCATCTAAACATTTTATATATTGTATATTTGGGTTTGCTGAATTTATTTAGAAAATTACGTTTGTTCAAGTTGAAATAGGTAAAACAATATACTTTAACACTTCTTTAAATATTTTTCTTGGCAATTGTACTTCCTAAAATTTATATTGATATTACATATGACAACTTTGTTATGTTCTGCTGATCCCATTTTTAAATTTGTAACCCAAGCATGTACTGTTTGATACATTCCATTTTCTGCAGGATGTACAAAACCTTTGAATAAAGTTTTTTTGTTCGGTTATGCACTAATTATGGGTGACTTAACTTTTTTTTTTTTTTTTTACAAGTTGAATAACAGTGTAGAACAAATATTTGGACAGTTTCAGATGTATTAGAAATTAAAACGTTATCAAAACCTAATATAAATTTGTTAAATATAACAACTTTCCATATTTACATATCTACTTTCCGAACAATTTTAATAATAATTTTGGGGAAGTTTTATGAAGATTGTAGGAGATACTTGTATGAAAATGTTCACAGTTTATTTTAGAATATGTGTGTGTGTGTGTGTGTGCATACATACATACATACATACATACATACATACATACATAACACACAAGCGCATGCAACAATTATTGTTAACTTCGAATTAATTTGGTAGTTGGTCTCAAGCGGAAAGGCCTGTGACCGTTACCTACATTCAGAAAGTTTGTAGCTTTGTCTACCTATCAACAGAAAATACATTTGCTTGTATTTTCTGTTGATAGGTTTTGCATTCAAATCACATTCGTAGCTAGGATTTTCCCTTAAATGATAATATTCATGCATCATCTAAATAACTATTAATTGGTAATATTGTATTCCAAGAGTTGTTAAGACCTATTTTAATG